ACTGGGGAGTGTTGTCCCTGCATAGAACAGGTCTGGTTAGTCTGGTTTGGTCAGATCCTTCTGGGCTTTTTATTTTAATGTAAGTTTGGGTATACAACATAATTCAACATCTGTATACTACAAAGTGATCACCTCTAAAAGTCTAGAGTTAACTATCCATGAAAAAATTGGCAGTGCTTCCTGAATTAGCGTTGTCATCCTTGCCCAGGGGCCACGCTAATTGTATCTGTCCAGTTTCAGCATGTGCTGCTGCTGCCAGCACTGTTAGGTGCTGCCACTGCCTCCTAGACCAGGGTCCTTGTCCTGGGGCGGGGGCTACAGTCATGAACAACATCACAGCATGGATACAAAGGTGATACAGGAAGGATGAGTCAAAACCGGAAGGAAATTCTGAAAGCCAACAGTTTGCATGTGGGGATGAAGTCATCTCCAGGCAGAGGAAGTAAATAGCAAGTGGTGGTCAGGGTCAGCTTACATCTCCAGCTCTTTAACCTGACCCCTGGCAAGAGAAGCCAGGGTAAGGGGAGTGGGAGCCAAGAGCTGACCCCATCCACTATTTTATTTGAGTTTTGGTAGGGAACATTTGACAAGATCTGCAGGCTCATTTCACAGCTTGTTAAGGGTGTGATTGATGGGCAGGTCCTCAGTTCTGTATCTTAAGATGTGGGAAATAGATTTGTGGTCTGGGGGAAGGGACACTGAAGGCACCCCTCTCTCTCTGCTTGGAGTCTGAAGCCACTCGGAGCAGGTTTCCCTTTTCTCTGCAGCTGCACTGGGCTGGGGAGGAAGGGTCTCAGGACATGAGAAACATGGAATTGAGCAACCCCTGTGGGCTGCAGCCACCCTGTGTCCTCTAGTTGGTCCCTGTGGGGGCTTCTGGTCTCTGAGGTCAGTTAAGCATGCAGCTTCACAGGGACAGCTGCAACTGATGGGCTGGGTCACAGGCCCTTACCTCTCTCAGCCCGAGGTTGCCACTTGCGAAATTACGGCGTTGATGGCAGTTGCATGGCATCCTTGCAATCAGCAAAGTCCCTTTGATAGGGACTAAGGTGAGCTGTGTAATAATAAGGGGGAGTCCCTGGAAACAGTTGTTCCAAAAGGTTCCCAGGAGCTTGTTGCGGTCCAGGTCAGGCTTCCAGGCTGGCTGGGGTCATGAGTTGTGTCTCCATGGGGGCAGCTCCTGTGCCTTCTGGGGTCCCTGCAGGCCTCCTCCCTGGAGTGAAGCCTGGGCCATTTCCAGGCTAGTGGATGGCCAGAGCAGCGTACACACTGGGCTCATCTGAGGGCTCCTCTGCTGTGGAGGAAGGGGGTGCACTTGTCTCCTGTCTGAGGGTCAAGTGGTTTAGCTGGGCATAGGTCACATCCTGGGGGTCTTCAGATGCTGCAGTCTGCAGTGGGGGGAGAGCAAAGATACATGGTTGGGGTGGGGAAGCCTGAGGCCAGGGAGGAAAGGACAGCCTGGGGGCCTTCGTTGTTGGGGCTCCGCGGGAGATGGGGTGTGTGTGTGTGTGTGGTCTCCTTGGTTCTAGTCTTGTATTCCAGTCATTGTATCTTTGGGGGTCTGAGGGAGGAGAGATGTGAGGTTGAAACCTCTGTAACATGGGCGTTCGGAGGTGTGAGTCTGGCACCGGGAGGGAGTCAGGACTGGAGGTAGGAATTGAGTGGAGACATCAACGTGGAGGAACAGTTAGATCTCACTGCACCCCTCAAGGGAGTGCCATCCATTCGCTAGAGTGAGCTGAGCCAGCCTGCTATGGTGTACAGAGCCCATTGTCACCTGTGTCAGGTCCATGGGACAGGAGAGTGAGCAGCAAGGGGTGAGCCAGGCTATAAGACCCTTTGTGCGGGTTTTAGAAGGCGCTCCTCTGGGCCTCTGCAGGCCCAGGGCTTGGATTTCAGTGCCTTGCCAGCCCTGACCTCAGCCCTGTCACCTCCATCTGAGCCTTCAACAGCTCCAAAGGTGGGCAGAAGGGCCAGCTGAGGAGACAAATGAGGGTGCGAGGTTGCAGTGGCCCAGAGCCGCTTGTTTCCTGGAGGGAGAGGCTGCCCGGAGTTGAGTGGTGTGAGGGTGGAGACGTGTCTGTCCACTGGATTTAGTGTGTGAACAAGGAGGTATGGGCTGTCTGCTCAGGACCAGACGGAGCTCACCTGACTATCCAGCTGTCTGTCCTCATTCTGTGTTTCTTTCACGACAGCATCTGGTGGGGACAGAACAAAGGGCTCATCTCCTGCCAGCCAGGCAGAGGCCCAGAGTAGGTCAGTGATGTGGCCAGGGTCACACAGCATCAGATTCATGCTGTCTCACCCTTAAACCCAGAACTATTTTGAACCAACTCTGATTTCCATGTTCCACCCACGTTCTCTGGGCCCATCTCCTCCCCCAGGACAGCCCCCCTTCATCCCCTTACACAAGTTCTCCTCTTGGAGGTCAACAGCTGGGCTGGAGCTGAGGGAGGAGACAGAATGTTAGGGGCAGCGAGGGGGCAGTGGGCAGGTGGGAGTTGGGTCTTTGGGAGAGAGCTCACCTCTTCGGCAGGCCTCTGTCCTCAGGCTCTGATGCTGCAGCCACTGCAGGAAGGTGGTGGTCAGCCTCCAGCCGACCCTAGAACCCTCCCCTGGGGCTGCACTAAGGTCTGCAGAGGACGCAACAACTGGGAAGGTTCTAACCCCTCCCAACTGCATTCAGAATTCAAGAGACAGCAGTTTGAAACGATGAAAAACACAACTTGCATGTGTTTTCAAACATTTCATAAGTTTGAAAAAGCCAAAAGAATACTAAAAAATACGTACATGTATACTCACGTTTAATCTCTTTTCAGACTTTTCCCTTTGGGAAATGCTGGAGGTTTTCTCAGCTGACCTCCCTCTTCTGGTTTCGCTCTGGCAGGTGCCCTGAGCCCACCCCCTCCTGTGACCCTGGTCACCCCGTTCCCTACTCACCTGATGTCCTGTTTTTGCCCTGACACCAGTATCGGAGGAAGAGGAAGAGGAGCAGGGAGAGCAGCAGGACTATGGCCACCGAGACTCCAATCAGAACATTCAGGAGACCTTGGGCATGAGTGACGTCATGGATGAGGCAATGGTGCCATTTCATTGAGCGCCTACTGTGTGCCAGGCACGGGCTGGGGTCTGTCATTCATGTCCTGGACCCTCACAACAGTCATGTGCCTGGGGATTGCTGACCACACCCCACCCATTTCACAGAGGAGGAAACTGAGGCACAGAGAAGTTAACCCAGCCTGGAAGTGGCAAGGCTGGGGCTGGAACCGAGGACTGTGGGTTCCCTTGTGCATGATTGTTTTAGTTAAGCTGTTTTTTTTTTTTTTTAGCTGAGCCATCCTGCTACCTGTTGGTAGCTCAGCTCGGGCTGGACTCGAACCGCTGTTGCTCAGAGCTCAAACTCTTGAGCGAGCTCTTAACCAACTGAGCCACTCGGCCGGCCCTATGCATGATTGTTTTTAATTATTCTGTCCCCTCACCCTCCAGGCAGAACACCTGTCACCCCTCTCCATTCTGGCCCAGATCCTTCTCCCAGAGGCCTGACGCCCCCACCTGGGGCGGTGTGCACAGGGAGTGTGTATCTGGGAAGTGCAGGAGGGAGGGCTCTGCCCTTCCTGACCTCTAAACGGCCAGGCCACCTGCTGAGGTCACTTGGAGCGGGGAGGGGGGGGGGCCTGTCCCTCAGCTGTGAACCTAGGACTCGGGAGGAACACGACTGTCCAAGATCCCTGGGTGGGGAGTAGCAGAGCTGGGATTTGAACCACGAGCGTGGCTTCTTTCCCTAACTCCATGGCAGCTCCTTGAGGGCTGAGCGTCCCTGAGTTTATGGAGGGGAGCTCAGACATCACCTGTGTCCCCAGCACACACAGTATGGACACTGTGTGTGCAAAGGGCCTTGTTGCCCTTTGCAATCAGAGAAGGAACTTTTCTCAGGCCCTTATCCAGGAAGTGGCTGAGCAAAGACCAGAACTGAGCTCCCCCCACCACCTCCCCACAGACCCTCACCCCGCTGCTGGCCTGTCTCTGTGGTGGTGGTGGACCCATCCTCAGAGCCTCCCGGGGATCAGGATGGGGAGTGAGGGGCAGAAGCTGCCTTCTCCCCACTTCAGCCCAGCTGGGCCCCAATATCTCCCTCTGCCATGATGGCCCCGCCCATTATCCCTCAGCCTCAGCCCTGGGGCCCTGTGGTCCACCCAGCATCTCTGCCTGACTCCCATCCCCGCTGGGAGAAAAGCTGTGCCACAGCAGGGGATCTTGGTCCCTCTGGGGATTGAGGCCTCAGCTGGTCTCTGGAGGTCCCAGGACTGGAGCCTGGATGAGGACGGGGTTGGGCTGCCTCAGGCCTGTTCTTTTGGTCAGCCTGAGTCCTCTCCAGCCTCCCTCTGTCCACCGGGAACATGCTGGCCTCAGGGACGAGGGCTACGATGAGGCAGGGAAGGGAGTTGCTCTGGCTTCATCCATCCCTCTGGAAGGTCAGAGTCCCCTCCGGCTGGTCCTTCTGTTATCCTCTCCCACCCAGCTCAGAGCTCCTCTGGGGACAGGGTCCTGAACTGACTGAGGAAACGGGGTGGGCTAGGGCCCCTCACCTGAGACCATGAGCTCCAGGGGATTGCTAGGGTGTGACAACAGGTAGGGGGAGGTGCTGCGTGAACAGTAACACCTGTAAGTTCCCCCATGGGCTGAGGTCACAGGACTGATGGTGAAGTTGGCCTGAGAAGGTGCAGCTGTGTCCTGCAGACGAAGGTGCTGGGGAGGAGCAGGTGACCCCTCCTTGTGCAGGTGGAAGGTATCAAACCAGATCTCAGAGCGACACTGCAGGGTCACATTCTCTCCCCAGGACACTGAGGGTCCTGGTTGGACTGAGAGGGAGGGTTTCTTGTACGTTCCTGAGTGAGAGAAAGGTCATGTGTAGAGAGCTGCCCCCTCCCCATATGCTCTTGACCCTGAGCTGAGGGACCACGTCCTTCTCCAGGGACTCTGGTTGTGAGCCCCTCTCAGTCTGTCTGGGTGGGGCTCTTTTATCTCCGTGTCCCTCACTCCCCTTTTCTCTCTCTCCTTAGACCACACCCCATCTCAGCCTCTGCTCCAGGACCCTCCCCCGCACCCCATCACCACCAGGGTGACTGTGGGCCCAGCACCTTGAGCTGACTATCGGGACATGGGGCAGGGCAGGGCTCCCCACCTGTGATCAGGATGTCCAGGGGGGCGCTGGGGGCCGACCATGCATAGGAGCGGTTGTGTCCACTGTAGCATCTGTACCGGCCCCCATTGGCACGGCTCACGTGGCCCAGGGGGAAGTCGGGGCTGTGCTGCCCATCAAGACGCTGGGGGTGTGTGAGCCCCTTGTCCTTGGTCAGAGCGAATCTGTCAAAGCCGACCTCTGAGTGACACTGGAGGGTCAAGTTGTGTCCAAGCAGCACCAGCACGCCTGGCTGGGCCGAGAGAGAGGGCTTTCTGTACACACCTGGGGAGAAGGGGACAGTGACAACAAGGGGACACAGCCCACATTGGCCACTGGGCTGCAGTGAGAGTTCTTACACGTCCCTCCCTAAACCTCCTGCCTGTGGTTTTGTCCCCAGGAGGCCAGTGTTACTGACCCTCCATTACCCCCTGGGCTCCACTGGGTACAAGGCTTAGGTCAGACATTTTGGACCCAGAAAGAAATGGGGCTCAGCAGGGATTCCCTCACCTGTGACCTCGAGATGCAGAGGGTCACTGGGGTGTGACCACACATTGGGGTAGGATCTAGGGGAAGAATAGCATCTGTAGGTGTCCCCATGGGAAGTGTTCACAGGGCCCAGAAGGAAGCGGGCCTGGGCCTGCCACCTCCCATCATAGATCCTTGACTCCACGTGTTGGGGCGGGTCAGCTCCTCCATCCTTCAGCAGATGGAAAGCGCCCCATGTGTACTGTGATCTACACGAGAGGGACACATTCCCTCCTAAGACCACCACTGAGCTGGGCTGGGCTGAGAGGGAGGGTGCATGGTACACGCCTGAGGGAGAAAAAGGGAGATGTGTTAAAGGGGAACTGTCACCCCACATACCCCAGGTGTTGGCTGTGAGGGATGAGGTCCCCTGAGTCCACACACCATGTCCTTCTGCCTGTGAGGAGGAGCCCATAGTGTTGAGGGGACCCAGCTCTTACCTGTCACCACCAGACTCAGGGAGTCACTCGGCTCTGACCACCTGTTCCTACTGGTGTAATACGCACACCTGTACCGTCCTGCGTAGTGTGAGCTCATGGATTCAATGAGAAAACGGGTCTTACTGCTGGAGTCCTGTGGGACCTTCGTATCCAAGACTTGAAGACTTGTATCCAGGTCTTTATAAATACGGTAGGCCTTAGCTTGCAGGGACCCCTGACACCAGATGGTCACAGGGCTCCCCTTGGTGACCATGGGGCCTGGATCAGCCCAGATGGAGGGTTTGGGGAGGACCCCTGGAAAGAAATCAGACCCGAAGTGTTAGGGGTGGCCTTCTCCCCTGTTTCATCAACTGTCACTCCAAGACCCCTTCCAGACTGGTCACCATCAGCCCAGACCCTGTTTCCCCTAGGATCCCAGAGGGTTTGGAGCTGAATCAGGAAGTCTGGGGGAGGACTCACCTGCCTGCACCAGGTCCTGTGGGCCCCAACACAACCCTGAAAGAGATTCCCTGTGAGAACTGTCCCCCCACCCACATATAGAAGCTCCAGGCCTGGTCTGGGCCCTTAAACATGGGATCAGACCTGGGGCTGACACTCTCTTTTCCCCCTGGAAATTCTGTCCCAACTGTGCCTCCCGAGACCTGTGGTCTTTCAGGGACCAGGACCTGGGAGGGGAAAAGATTCCACCCCTCCTCCTTTCCCCTATAGCTCACCGAGGCAGAGAAGAGCAGTTAGGGTCAGGGTCGTGGCTCTGCCTCCCATGGTCCCTAGAGCCTGGCAGGACAGATGCACAGGGTGTGACAAAGTCCAGGCTCCATGTGACATATGATGGGTTCCTCTTCAGTGGCCTCAAAGGAAGGGGAACAGCCGCTTCCAGGGCCTCGCTCTGCTCACCCTAAGAGATGGGGCTGAGCAGACCACAGGCTCTGGGACCTTTCAGACCAGATCTGAGCCTCACCAGACCCCACACGCTCTGCCTCCACCTCATGCCACACCCAAATCCAGAGGGTGACACTGGTCCCTGAACATGAGGGTAAAGGATGCAGGGCAGGAGAGGAGCCAGCCCAATTTCTGCTCCAATTCTGACTCTGCCTTTTCTAGAACCTGTGTGAGCTTGGGTAATTCACTTCCCTTTTTTGAGACTCTGCAAACGCAATTTTTCTTGTTTGCTCTCACTGGCCAGGCAATCAGGCAGTATTTATTGAGCAGTTACCATGTCCGGCCATGGGACCAGAACTAGACATTGATAGCTGAAGCTGACAGTCTTTCTTTGCACTCATGGGGCTCAAATAAATGAAGATAGACATTACAGATATTTAGATGGCAGACAGTTCAGTGACAGTCTTCTTGTAAGATTGTTACTTGTAGGAAGAAGAAAATGGGACAATGAGATTCAATTAATAAGTATGCATTATGTAACCTAGGTTCTTTGGGGGATGGAGTGACCCAGTGCAAGAGCAGGGGTTAGCCCAGAGGTGGTGGGCAGGGTGGCATCGTGACCAGAAAGGTCTTGAACTCTTCTCAGATTTGAGAGCAGTCAGGAGAAGGCTGGGCCTGCTCACCAGAATCTCAAACACCATGCAAGTAGTTTGGGTTTTGTCTTGAAGTCAGGGGAAAAGTTTTGTGCAACAGAGAGTACGAACAAAGCTCTGTTTTAAAAACACTGCTGCTATGTAAAAATGTAATGCAGGAGGGCTCTACTGATAATTAGCTCTAGCAAGATGGTGTGTTGATCAGTATTTTAAGTTGTTTATGTGGTTTTCTTATATCTATAACACAAACTACATTCACGGTTGAGTGGTATGAGACAGGATGGCTTCTTGTTCTGGAAGGTTGGCTATGTTCAAACTGGCAGAGGGAGCAGCCGAGGAAGGCACAGCATAGTTGAATAGCTCAGTTTCTGTGTGTGGCTTGGGGTGGAGGCGTTTGGTTGTGAAGGGAGAGTGTGTTCTCTGGAGCTGGTGAGTTTAGCTTAGGCCTGCTCATTCACAGCCTTGAATATCAGATGGTGCAACTTAGATCTTTTTTTTTTAAAGATTTTATTGGGGAGTTGGGGGAGGGGAACAGACAAGTTGCTGTCCTTTTGTTCTTCAGTCTAGTTGTGAAAGATGTTGCTTCACTGGCCCATGTTGGTATTATCATTGCGCTCTTCCCGGGTGAGGCAGATCGGTAGCTGGCCTCTGGAGGGCCTCTCACGGCAGCTCTTGGCAGCTCACGCCAGCTGCTGGCCACTCACGGTAGGTAGCTTATGGCAGCCCACTGCAGCAGGGGCTGCAGCCTACGCCATTGCC